AGAGGGGACATTCTGCTGCTGTCAGCCAGCTGCTGCCTATTTCAGGAATTTCACATTTTTATGAACACATGAAAGGTCCAGAGTTATCTATATACTATGTATTTGAAACAATATTAGCACCTTGGTGGGGTAGCTTACTTTTCGCCTTAAATACTCATGTTTACACATTAGTTCTAAAGGAAATCAATAATTGTTTACAGAAGCTTTTGTCTACGAGCAAAACTTCGGGAACTAATTTCACTCACATTTAAGTGATGCCTGGCAAAGGTACCTTAAAGTAACTAACACTCCAGGAACTGAGTGCAGATACCTCTAAAGTCTAAGCCTGTTAGAAAGGATGGGGCACTTGGGTAGCCAAGTTGAAAAATTACCCTTCCTTTCAGCCATTCTCAACAAGAATATGCTGCAAGTGTGACTAATTACACACTAATGGGCAGGCACTTAGCAACTAGAAGGGACCAAGAGGATATAAAAATCTCCTTGAGAATTGCAGAGGGTGCTTCTTAGAGGACTTAATCAGGCTGAACCACGGGCAATGGGTGGCTGTTAAAGACCTCGAGGACGGGGAAGCTTTGTCAAGCCAGCGGGGACTCTGCTGGGTTCTGCCCTGTGGGGCCATCTCAACGGGAGCTGTCTCATTCACCAAAGAAACTCATACCCTTTGCCTGTATCTGATTACATGTCCCTATCAATCTCCTAACCATCACCGTTGTGGTAACCAGGCAAACATACTGACCCTCTTGGGAAAAGAAAATAGTCTTCAAAATATTATCAAACACAAAAAGCATGGAATGTTTCATAAGATACTTACAAGATTTTCCATATCTGTGCGAGCCAACATGTATGTTCTAATATTACTATTCTGATGGAGCAATGTATACAAGAGGAGAGTTGCTTGATCAGAGGTCTGCTGTTCACACAGAGCTGTGTACAAACTATTAAAGTTGATCTGGAAGGCGTGTGGAATTGATGATGGAAAAGGACTGCTATCTGGAATACAGAAAAAAAGGTATATCAATATTTTCTGGACAGTGTTTTATATAAATAATAAATATTGTTAAAGTAATATGTACAACTCAATTCCCATTAATTTTATGTAAAAGCACTACATTTCAGATTCAAAATTTCAATTTATAAACTTTATTTTAAAAAGAACTAAACTAAGTCACATAGTGTGACTCTGATACTATTTTCCCATTAATATAGCTGACATAAGAAAATGAACTTAAATAAACAGAACTATGGGCTAGGCAAAAGGCCCTCTAATAGCTACAATTTAACCAGGACACTGAGAGCTAAATGATCATCAGTCCTACAGACATCTAGAGACAAAGGATATAGTTTCTACATAAGGCAGAAAGTCCTTTTGTAAAATAGAGTCAAAAAGAAAAAAACAGCCTTGAAATTAATTTCTTCCAAA